CCGAGAACGTCACGGTAGCGCCTGAACTCGACCCGTTCTGGGAGAGAGGTCGGCCGGGCACGACCACGTGAGTCCATGGAATTCCATAGGCTCGCCCACACGCACTAGACCCGCCCACATGCGCTATCACGTTTGGGTGTTGCGATGCGGGATTCATCAAGCACGTGCGCACAACTCAAAGACTTTGATCACCAGCCCTTGTGTTTTAATACATTCAATCTTTGGACTCGTCTGCTACTGTCGACCCAACGAGATTCAAGGGGCTTGTCATAAATCAACATCTGCTGGTTTGAAAAAAACCATGCACTCCTTAAATTTTTAAGGAGCGCTTTTTTTTTGCTCTCCTTGGAAAACATTAAGGAGTGCAGAGGAGCGGGAGCGTTATCGTGCTCCTTTAAAATGAAGCCCTGGTATTCATATTACAATATAACAACTAAATGTACATTTTGGATCTTGCCTGACTTTCCTTGTTTTGCCCATTAAATCATCACTTTTTTTGGGGGGGGTGAGTAGTCTTACTTTGGAAAATTTTCCCCAACTTTTTTTTTGTAGTCAAAGTCCATGTTATTAGTATTTTTATGTCAAGTTATCAAATACATTGTAACAAAACTTTTGTGCCACATACATGTACAATGTACATTATGCATCTTGGAATGGTGAATTTTTTCAATACATTTTCTACACGATGACACTTTTTCATTTTTGGCCAAAACTGACCGGTCAACTTTGGGGTCCTACATTACATGTACATGTCACAAGAAACATTTCTACCAGTATGAAGTACAAGTAGCAAGCATAAAGTCAGGACTCACTCGCAGTAGGGGGGCCTACTAAAGCAAAATACCACCCCCCCTAAAAAAAACACCATTTGGCAAGCTATATGAAATTCATATATGTAGGGCAGAATCAATGAAAATAATACAAACAATGAAGTTTGATTGAAAGCACTTCCCATCTGCCAATGCCATTAATCCTGACAAATAACCATTTAGATCTAGTAGGCATGATAGGAGTACCACTGTTTGACTGTTGAAATGTTGATAAAAAAGTCACGCATGCCTCCAAAAAGTCACACCTGCCTCAATGCACTTACAGCACACACTATAACCCGATTACAGTACATGTACACTAGAATAGGCTATATTCATATCCAAGCATGTCAAATAAATGGTGCCCTGTACATGTACCGGTACAAAGCTAGGGCCTGGGCCCTAACATTAGTCCTACATGTACATGCCATGCATGTCCTGGGCCTGTTGTGATTTTCATGATCTTGGCCTTGCTCTATCTACAAGAATCCTTTACAAACATGTTTAAAGCTAATTACACCTATCATTTTGTATCTGTTACATTGCAGCATCAAAAAAGTTAACATTTTGGGGATTGGAAATTTGGGACCCTGTTCTTATAATGAAAGAGAGAGCTACATGTACTGTCCCCATACATTTTAACTTCTGGATTCCCCTAGGAAGATGACTGTGATGCTCAATAACTGCAGGGTTCATATCGTCAAAAAAGGGTAAGGGCTTTGAGTTTTGAGGAAAATTACGCGGGAAAACTGTATTTTAACACATGACACATGGTGGATTCAATTTCAAATTTGCATGGCTAGCTTATCAGTGAGAAAGTCACATTTTCTCACAATTTACAATTCGAAATTTCCCAAAAACGGGGTCAGCTTAATAAAGAGAGTGTTGCCTTTGGGGAGACTTACCTTTTTTGCAAGATTAAAATGACAAAAATCTCAAAGCATACATACACATAATGTATTTTGTCATGTCTGTCATCCATTCCATGCCATCATGGTCATGAGGTATACTGTATGTATGTAGGCTATTCTCATTTGTCCATCAAACTCAAAGTGTCATTGCGTCACGTCGTGTCTGAGCCCCACACCTAGGGCTGTGGATGGCGACAGAAAGGAGACAGATTTCAATGACAGCCATCCACAGCCCTGCGCTACGTCTGCGGATAATTGCTGCGCATTATTAACCCACCTTGACTTCCTCTTCGTCTTCGCCTTCCCATCTGTCGCTCGCTACCGGCTTGGCAAAGCCTTGGTCTGGGTCAAAATCTTCCGAATCTGCGAAGATTTGAACAAAAAAAGCAAGCACGGAAACTTGCGTGAGCTTGACGATTACGAACACACGAAAACAATTTACAAATGGCAACCTAAAAAAAAATCATTCCTGCCATGCCTGCGCACATGTTACTCACCCCAATCCGCCATTTTGATTGTTGAGCAATAATATAGCAATGCATTCTGGGAAATTCCGCGAAACACGTAACGTACATCGCGCGCTCCGCAACCCCAAAAGTTGGTTTGGGGCACACCCATCCTTAGCACAGCCCGCTTAATTATATTCACAGGGCCGGGGAAGGGGAGGGGGACAGTTGGCCATTAACTGCCCTCTTCCTATTCTTTTACATGTTCAGATTGAAAGTAACATTAAAAAAAGTAAGATTAAAAAAAAAAAAAATCAGGAAACGGATGCCAGTCATCCCAGTATCAAACAACCAGAAACCTACGTATTCAGAGCAACTCGTTACATTGAAGGAAATAGTAGGGTATGACGCCGCGGCAAATAAACTCAGCCGCCACGGTATAGCGCGTGTGAAAATTCAGTGCAATACCCCCCATGCTTTGCTTCATGATAAAAGTGAGCTGATTATAATTGTGACTACCTTCACAAACTCTGCATGGCAGAAATAAAATTCACAAAATTAAGATACCATTCCATTTTTTCCAGCTTTTATGGAATTTTATTCTGCACATAAACGTGTATGGCATTTGCTGAGGAAAACGCTAGTATTGCAACCAGTAAACAAAAAAAAAGACACTAAATGTACTGACATGACTGAGGCCGGACAAATTGCAACAGACTTTATTTTCTCCACGGGTCAAGTTTAACAAGAACTTTTCATTTGTTTTGAACGTTCAGAGATCCAATGGAGTTAATACGTGCCAGGAACGGGGGGGGGTTGACACAATATGGCACAAGGGGTCGATGTTCATGATATGGGCGTCCATCTGTAAAGTATTCCACTCCTGCAGAATATTACATCAAAATGATTTATTTATGGCTTTTTTATAAACTGTTCTCCCTTACATTGCTGGCTACTGAATACATTTTGGTTGCTGGGGATCTGAACAATTCCTCATGATCCATCTTCAATTTTTCTCACCATGAAAAAACGGGGGGGGGGTGATTCAATGGCCCCACCCCCAAAAGTGAGGGATACGTGCACCCGTTCCTCCCCCATCTCTACACCTATGCAGAGGACTTTGCTCGTGAAATTCTTGTTTTCATATTACATAAAAGCCCAGGCGTTGCATTAACCTTTGCTTAGCAACCGTATGCAGCAGCCGCATGGGTAAAGAGATTTGGAAAGTTTGAATGTATTTGTGAAATCAACATTGCTGGTATCAGGTAAAATCAAATTAACTTCATCCATTGCAGACTTATCCCAATTCAACAGCGTAACAAAATCGATTTTAGGCACTACATTCTAAGCAATTAATGTTATCATAAAAGGCAAACGTTCAAAGAAAAGATCAATATTCCACAGCCCTTCACCTTACCAATTCACTGTTTCTTGAAAACAAACAAAACCCCTCCAAATATAATTAAAAAAATAAATAAAAATCCTACACTACCTCTTAGCACTTACACATCAAATGCTATTGCGATTCCCTTCAAATATCACATTGATTTCCCAACCCACAAAACCCTGAAAACAGGAATTTATAGCATTACAAGTGTGTGCTAAGTGAAGAATAAAGGCAAAATTAAGTAGACAGTGTCAACGCTGGCGGAATGATTTACAAGGAAGGGAGCTGTTGATGAAGCCCCGCCCCATACTAGGACCTATCAAAAGTATGGGAACATGCCCCCAGGTCACACAAGTGGGGAGGGGGGTGCACTGACCTCTGACCCCCTCCTGCCACCAGCAGACAGTGCCTAATACTCGACTGGTGACAAAAGTTACTCATATTTTGTGGAATTGTTTCAATGGAGGGGCTCAACAGCCCCATCCGACAGCTCACGTGGTCCTCTGGGTACGGTCCATTAGGTATTTCTACACTGACAATAGAAATACCTTGGCTTGTTTCAGAGCATGGAAATGATTAAATATCGATGATTCAGCCGTTGGAAAACAAAACTCAAAACACTTTTTGCAATTAGCAAAGTTTTAAAAAGGCTAAGCACATTATCACTGTCGAATGCAACAGCTTTTAAAATGTGTACCTCGAAATCCATTTTTTTTGGAAACCATTTTCTTGTTAAAATTTACACTGTTGGAAACTGCAGGTGATGGCATACGCATCAGCTTTGTTATTCAGAATAAAACATGCTTAGTTGAGATTTGAGCAGCTTAGAAATCTTAATTAGTTATGTATTTAGTTTCAAATCTACTGGTTCTGTCTGGCTGATTGGCTTTCATCTGAAACACACATGCATGTGCAGTGCACTCTCATTACGTGAATAAAAGTTCAAAATAGTTGAAACAGTACACGGGGAAAAAGCAGTAAATGATTAGCATCCTTTGTTACAGTCGGCAAAACATTACATGCTGACAATGTAGATATTAAATCCATGCCAAACTTTTTTCACCACTGAACGCCAATATTTTTTTCCATGCTATTGCGACGAAGCTGTAAAGCTAAGCCCATATTTGAACACAGGTTGCCAACAGCAGGCATGCTCCCGAGCCATCCCAAATCAAATATGATTTCCCTATGTCTGCACTGTTTAATATCGTCAGTGAGAGCTGTAATTCTGCATATAAGTTTTAGTTTTACAATTATGTGTATACAGCATTGAGCAATTCCACACAAAGTTGCTTCCTAACGGCTACATACATGTACCACCTTTTTACCATTTTTTTGCAAATAAAGTCGTACTTTGATTGATAACAAATTCTGTCTAAAACCAACATGCAATAACTTCCAAGCTCTTACATGTGCAGACGGTCCATTTAAAGACACTTACTCAGTGCACTTCAAGTGTCAAGATTTCTGATTTGAACTGCATTTTAGTGAGCACGATAAAGAGTTGGCAATCCCGAACTTGATCGACACACTGACACGCAACCGAAGAGAGTGAATTTTCCTCAAGGATTATACGTACGGCTGGTGAATTTGAGGATTTGAAAAGTAAGCCTCCTCACACAAATTGTAAACACACGCCCCACGGAGTTTCCCACGAGCTTTCACGTGCTCCTTGGCATCGTATACGTTGTATAGTTCACACTCGAACTTGAAATTTTTTCTTTTTTTTTTTAATTGGACACTTGTGATGAATTCCTATGACACTGCGATCAACAGATATTCTTCACCTGTTGCTTTGTGTTTCTCTACTACTGTTTCATGTATGACTGGTTGATCTTGGCTGTTTGATGTAGCATTAAAATGAGTCTTCACTGTTAAGGGCTCGGGTCTCTTTGAGTGCTTGGAAGCGTGCAATTACAGCATCCAGGCTGTGCTCGCCGTGCACTTTGTTGTCTCGGGTGCGAACGTTGACCGTCTTGTTGGTCATTTCTTTCTCTCCGACAACTGGAAAACAAAAAGTTAAGGGAAAAAAGTTAAAAACAAAATGAGATTTGGGGAAAAATGTAGACATAACGCAAGATGCAAAACACGGAAACAGGGGCCTACAATTTTAGAAGCATTTCCCCATGTCTTTTTACAGTTATTTACAGAGACTTGAAACTCCACCTGTTCTATACATGAGTCACCATGTAGGCTACAACTGGCAGAAAATCAATAATGGGTTTGGGATCTTTAATTAAAAAAAAAGCAATTATTCAACTTCATGTGAAAACGGAAAGTAACTTTTGCCCCGTCCATTTTTAAGGCTAAACTGGGTAAAAATGTCTACACAAAACAGAAACTGCTTTGAGGTTCCCCTCCAACTGCACCCTGCGCACTGAGTGATTCAGATATTCAACATAATGTTTGACTGTGTTGAGGTAATAATTTACAAAATAACTGGGGGAAACGTTACGGCCTAGTTCCAAAACCAAATCTAGTTTTAGGTTTTTAGTCACTTTAAACAAATACTGAGCTTCATTTAGAATTGATTTTGGTAATACGGCAATGGTTCCATATTGCTGTGATTTTCGTTTTAAAATCTGGCTTTTTTTCCCCCATCTTACCAAAGATGAAGTTAAACTGAGCCAGCTGGGCATTGCGGATCTTCTTGTTCATGGTGTCGCCTGCGTCCAGGTCCTTCTCGCAGAGAAAGCCGGCCTGGAAGATCTTGTCCTTGACCTCGCTGGCGTAGTTGTTGAAGACGGGACCGACGGGGATGACCATGGCTTGGCGAGGGGACAGCCAGAAAGGCCTGCCGAGGTGACAGGGGGAAGTGTAAACGTTATGCTACAGAGCTCTATCATGGGGCAGCCATCTTGCTTTTCGACCATGAAAACTAATATAACCAAACTGAGGCTGGACGGAAAAATAGTCTGTTCCCTTGTAACAATTTGTGCACTTGCATTACTACTGCCATTAAGTCTACAGAGAACAAGACAAGCATGGCAGCACTATGATAAAAGTCTACAGGGCCCACTCTGATGAACTCCAAGCTTGAAACAACTTGTGGCTGTCAATGTCACACTAGCTAACAGATACGGTTACTTCCCATGGACGCATGGATTACTAACTAGCCACAACTGCTTGATTTGGATATGGCCGTGGCTGCCTTGGGTGGCAGCAGGTCTTGGATCATTCAATATAAAATTCAGGTCCAATTTCTTCGTTTCCCTGTCACATCTGACATTTGGTTTTTATAAGTTTGGAATGTATTTTCTAATTTCCAAGAGTGATGAATTAATGCAAATTACCTACCAAACAAATAGACATAGTTTGAAAGAATCAATATCGGTGATATTTCCATTTTGA